ATAAAATCCCTGCACACCACTAAGAAATATTTGTTCTGTTAAAACTCAAAGTAACTCAAATATGTACGACATAGTCCTAAAAGACTTGGACAGTTGGTCAGGTGTTTTCTTTTTTAATTTTCCTGAAGGCATCAGCAGGATTTGCCACATTCCACCAAATGAATTACCACCTGTATGGGCACACATAAATACAACAAAGAGCTTCAACCAGGTGTACTGAATGTTCCAGAGTCATTTATTGTTTGGCACAGAGTCCCATCTAATGTCAGGTTGAAGCCAGCGTGCCCTGTTTGACTCTGTGGGGAACACCCTGAATCAAACATCCAACCAAGCCAGGATAAAGTCCCTCACAAATACCTCAACTGACAGGAGCCACATGTCAGAGCTGAATATACTTCCTGGAAATCAGTGAACAAATATACATCATGGTGTATTTGATCAACTTGGAGGAAGATGTTGGCTGCTCTGTTCACTGTAAAATATTAATCTTTGAATCCTGTTTGAAAGGAAGACAGGATATGCAAAGCTTGCATAACTGCCAGGGTGACAGGTGTGTGTGTGTGAGTGTGTGTTTGCTTTTGCAAACTCGACCTGAAACTGTGAGTCAAAAAAAAAGTTATATATATTTACATTCAATGTGTTGTATATACATATTTTACATACTTTCATTATATGGACAAATAACTTGAGTTCCACTCTTTGCGGAGAAGACAGACTTGGACAATGTGATGGAAACAATTTAGAGCCAAAGACAAGAAGACGACTTGTGTTGACTCAGTGACTCACAGCAGGGTTTTTTTCCTGTTTGCACTAGGCTGTTAATCACAAGAATATACGGCCATGTGAGCGGGTGGAGGAGCAGGATCCTGCTGCAGATAGATTACAATGAACCAATCCGGACACAGGACAAGACAGCATCCAAAGGTGCAACGAAACCAAAACACATGCATTCACGTGCACATGCACTCACACAATTGGGTGTAGAGGAGGGTTTGATGAGACATATCAGAGGATTTAACCAGGTATAAATGGCTGTCAGGCTGGATGCAGCTCTTTGCCAGCACTTGTTGTGTGCCCATCCACGTGTTCTGGATGTACATGTGTCAGTGGTTATGAGTCACAGCAGCTTGGGCAAACAAAGTTGTCTGCCGTGACTCATGACCACTGACACATGTACATCGCATACTTGCTTGGATGAGACCTGGATTGTCGATCTTTTCTCATGCCTTAAGTACAGGTACTATTTGACATGAGCTTCTGTAAGGTATTCCTATCTGCATTTTTTGCATGCTATGTGGTCACATCCAAGCTCAGAGACAAACGAAACACCTGTTTTCTTTTCTCTTTAAATATGCATCTCACATGTCACTCAAGACTGCTTGGTTCTTTATGGAATCTGCTGTGTTAAATCACATGCACAGGAATGATGCCCTTTCCTTTACATTTGAAGAATTCCAGCGTTTTTTTTTTAATTTTTTTTACCATAACACACTTCGACATAAGTACACACATAGTTCCTGGCAAGGGAAACATGCGTGGGCGAATGTCGAGTCGATGCCCGACCAAGGGTTACAGCCCACATGGAGACAGCGTTAAGCCTCAGTGCTGATACGGAGACATTATGGGTGTCTTATCTCTGCCTCAGGCTCCTTAAGTCATCTATACACCACTTCAGCAACAGAATTTTATAGCAACAGGAAAAAAAATGGCCATAAACATAAAATGACTGACTGATAGCTGCACTCGGCTGAAGGATGCCCTCTAATTAGTGTGTTTTATGAGCCCAGGATCCACAGTGAAAACATGTTCGTGCTGCGCCGAAGAGCAAACACTGCCTGGGAGGTCACAGTACCCGCAGGGAGCTCTAGAGTGTCCTCAGACCAAGTTCAGGACATTTCAAGTGTCATGGTAGACCTTTGGTGGTGCCGACATTATATTAACTGCACGGTTGATTACAGTGTGACTAATGGGACTATTTGAATGTGTAACATCAAAGAAATGATAAGATGTTGTGCATTCCACTGCTCTGATTCTGTATGTTCTGTTCTGATTCTGTGAATGAATTAGATTAAAATGTATATATATGTTTATATGTTTATATATGTACAATTTTGATTTTTGTGTCACGACAATGAACTCCAAATTGCTCTAAACTGAAATATTTTCCAAATGCAAAAGTATAAGTGGTAATTTATGGTTACAGAAGTCATTGGTGTGCCCCCCCCCCCCATAACAAAAGTAACATTTGAGAAAGTGATACAAGCTTGTTGACACGAAATAAAGCAACTAGTCTCAGGAATGAATCCCTGAAGAATTTCTCCAGTGTCAACATCTCCTGTTTCACCTGCTCCGATGAGCTCTGGCCCACGACTACACAGGCGGACCTCTCAGCGAAGAAAAGCTCTTTAAATGATTGAAATTGTTCAGATGCCCCCCCGGACAAAAGAAGTAAAAACATGGGAGTTGAGTGAGAGGCAGGAACCTTCCACCTGACCATCTGGTCAACCAGAAAGTGGTAAGGGTTAATCCCGCTTTACACTGACTTCACTCAGCAGCTCCTCAGCACTGGAGTGATAAACAAGAGTACGAGGAGGATTCTCCTCTCACCTGGTGACAATGTAATGCCCTAGGCCTGACCCCACAGGTGACGACAGACCCGACATGACAACTCTCTACTGCGGGAGAGAGACAGAGAGAGAGAGAGATATAAAGAGATGAAGAAAAAGCCATAAAGATAAGCCCCTTTCAGACAGGGAATCCGTAAAATTGCTGGGTTTGTTTATCTGGTAAATTAAGGGCTTTTCATGGAAAAAGCTCTGTTCTCAAGTGATATTTGAAATTCAGTCAGGACCACGCAATGGAGAAATTACAAACAATGTAAAAGGCAAAAGATTGTTTATTTATGCAACATTTTATGTAAGTAGCTGAGTCACATCTTCACCTTCAAAATGATATAAATGATCAATTAACTACTTTTAAAGCTTCACTTTGTCACTTAGAATGTGACTGCTTTTATTTACACTTAATATATAATATAAAATATTATTACAGTGACTAGATAGATGCACAAAGACACATGCAGAGTAACAAAACGGACACTGCAATCAATTTCTACAGGAAAAATACTGTATGCGAGCCAGTATAAATGCTTGATTATTATTTCACCCGAAATAGTTTAAAACACATCTCATCCACAGTTCGTCCCTTTGAGTTTTGACTCAAATGTGGCGTCTCTCCAAATATTAGTCAACTTGGCTGTTTTGCTTTGTTGTGTCTCATGTTGCTTCATGCTAACACTGGCTCCGCCAAGCAAAATTGAGCCAAATTCTCAGATGAAAGATTTGCTTTTGTCATAGAGATGCTGACAAATTCCAGATGGCGTGCTCCGTGCAAGTTTGGATCTGATTTTGTGTCGTAAACCCGAATGGTCCAAACTAGCATGAAGAGAAAAGGGGGAAATAAAGAAAGATACATGGTTATAAGGAGGGATAAGGTTAAGGAGTAAAATAAGATAACGAATGAGATTACGAGTTGGAGAGAAAATCGGGAACAGAAACTCAGCCCGTTATTTATCAACTCTGTTTTTCTCTCCTCTTGTGCTTTTCAAGGAAATCAGCAAGCTTTTCTTCGCTCTTCTCTTGCAACTGATAATATCCCTGCTATCGTTCAATGGTAAATGCAGAGTTCAAAGGATGTCAAAACTGTTTGCAAAGCATTGGGCGTTGACATTAGCTTTGCAGCAATTTGTTTTTTCATTTTGGACTTATCTTTATTTCTATTGATAAGGTGAAGCTGATTCATCAGTGTCGAGGGGTTGAACTTGATCGCTTCAGATTTAAATTTTCACAGTGACTAATCTTAAAACCATATACTATGTACATAGCTGTGATACGATAGCGAGGTTTCTATTTAAGACTTGTGTTTGGGTAATAGCTATAAATCAACTTGGACATGTTTTTGTAGTCAGAGTGTAGGTGTGTTTTGTGTTGAACAGGCTTATAAAACTATTACTACATTCCATGTGTGTGTTTACCTGTCCGCTCAGGTCTCATCTTCGACCACACCCACAATGTGTTTTTATAACAACAGCTATAGATTCATGGAACTGAAATACTCCTTTGGAGAGCAGACACTGAAGTCTGTGGTGGGATCTCCGTCCGTCTGCATAGTTTTACAAATTTGTTTGACTTCAAATGCTAATTATTTCTAATTTTCTGTTACATTTTATTCAAAAAACACAATTTATCTCTGGCAGACTTTTTCTATTTATATCCACAAGTTTCATTTTATTATGTTGCTGGTTTACAACTTTAAATATCACAGCTGTACATCTGCAAACCTAAATTAATTTAAAATATGGACTTGGACAGTTACCTTCAACTAGAAAATAGAGTTTGATGTGGTAACTTCTGAGGTGAGAATTACAACTTTACCTCCCGGAGATACACACAACACAGAAAAACGTCCAACAAAGTGAGAAAACTCCTGCAAACCATTTGAGAGAGTGTTTTTTCCTGCTTTGTTTACATCTTGGAACAATAAAACGGTAATAAAATGATCTACAGACGAGATCCTTGAGCGTGACCTCCCTGTAAAATGCTACCTGAGTCTCTGCAAGTATTTTAATGAGAACATCATAAACTAAACATCCACTTATGTTGACAGAAGGGAGAAAAATAAAGAGCACTGACGGCAGTTTGCCTGTCCTTTCCCAAAGCACTTTCTGTGCTGCATTTTGTAATTATTTACCATTTATGGGGTGCATCAAGTGGTGCAGGTAAGGCCAGTTATGAGCTCGATTTTCTCAGGCAATCACGTAAAATTCCTTACAGTCCATTGACTCTTGAAAGTGCATGTGATTTTTATGTTCAGTTTTATGCAACTCCTGACTCAACCTGTTTCTGGAGGAAACTGAGGATCCTTCAGTTTGTTTACGCAAAAAGACAGTGGGCATACAGTGTGATCGCCTCTTCATCTCCCCTTTCCTTTTTCAAATAAAGGACTCTGACTGAGAAGCTACGCCAGACCTCAAATGCAAGAGGAGTGTGAGATTCCATAGATGAAGGTAACATCAAGTCGAACCCTCACTATCAGCAGCTAAACTCGGCCTCAGTTGGGCGTGCTTCCACACACACTCACTTAAACCCACACACACACACACACACACACACACCATGCACCTGTGCATGATTGTGCTGAAAGGAGCTGATAGCAGAGTGAAAGAACTTGACATTTGTTTTCTTAATCACCTCCAACACCCCCTTTCTGTTTGTGCAGAGCGAGAAGTATCACAGAGCTTAACAAAGGGCCCATTTACTCACCATCCTTATTTGTCCAAGCGTGTTTCCCTCCAGCTCCCTGAAACCACAAGCTCATTATTTCATCCTCCGTAATGTTAGCTCTTAAATCCACATCAGCACACTCATTTGGTTAGAGATGGTAAATATTTATGCAGCGTGTCACAAAAACACACACACACACACACACACACACACACGTGTGCACTCACACAACAGGCAAACAGACACACACTTGCAAGCACACTTTTACCCTACCATTTGTTCAGATTTGCTTTTTTATTTTCAGTTTGCACTGGAACTGTTGCGTTGGTGATTTTGGCTGAATTTCTGAGATTGGGTTATTGAAGGCTAAGCAACAAAAGCAAAACAAGCACTGTGTTGTTTTGCTTTTGTTGCTTAGTTCTTTGTTTTCAAATGCAAAGTCATTCTAAATTGAGTCATGAATGTGTATATGGATAAATGGGTTGAATTATTTAAGAGGGAATCCTCATTGGCATGTAATCAATATTAAAGGACTCCTTGGATTGGGATCAGAGCTCTAGTTTTCACTGGAAAAATGTTAATAACACTAATTTCAAACAGAGGACCTAGCTTAGGTTGGGGCCCCTGAATCCTTTAGGCCCCTTGGTCTGTGCCTGGTAATCCGTCCATGCAAGTGTGGTTGTGATGGAGCATCATGTTGAAGTGAACCAAATTCCACATGATGTACAAAAGTTGCTCTATGGTCCGGGTAAAAACCTCCACTACCTCCTCAACTAGAAGAAAGCTCCAAAAACTGACATCAAACATTACTCAAATATTCCGCGGCCCATCATAACTTCTGGAAACATCTAGATTTGATGAGACATTGTGCAGAAACATGTAAACACAACCAAATAACAAATGGTTCCCAGAAATGGAAGGTGAATCACTAATACTTCTTTTAAACAGTTTATTCGAGTAGATTTGTTTTCAATTCATTCGTCTCTCCGTCCCTCCCCCCTCATTTCACCCCGTGTCTCAGGTTGCCTGCAGTCAGGTATGATGGCCCGAGGCCTCCGGTTAAATCCCCAGCCCAGACGTCTGCACAGCCCTAGTCTGCCTCATCGGGAGTCCTGCATTGATTGCTGCTTTAGTCCCCCCTCATTGTTAATGGGAACCCTGCATTGTGAGGGGGCCACTTGCATTGTGAAGGGCCTCTTGTAATGTTGTCTTGCTGAGTGCTGGAGAATTGGCTGTGTAGGCACCGACCTGCCAGCGGCTCCTGTGAGGTCTTGTTGACCTGCTGAATGGAGCCACCTGAGAGTCAATCAGGGCACCGAAATACCTCAACAGGACAGAAGAATGTGGAGGAACTGCTGTCTTTTTAAAAAAAAAAAAAACACTTGAATGAACACTGCCTTGATAACTTCATTTAGTTCAGATATTGTTGAAAGTGACCTTTCTTTAACTGTGGGGAAAACAGGTAAAGTCTGTTGTTACAGTGAGTTTGAGGTAATTGTTGAGTCAAAGCATATTATTGAGTCCAAAGAAATGAATGTCTGACACTTGGAAAAGAAAGAATAAAGCAGACAGGTCCCCTGACTCAGGATTAAATTAGTTTTTTAGAAAATACAAGCAGATTTTTTGTCTTGTTTTAAGTATCTGGCTGACATGCAGTGTTTTTAAGTCTGGATAAACAATTTTACCTTCACAAAATGCAAATATTGTGCACAATCATACTACATAGATTCTTACGATAAATACTGTAAACAAAACATGCCTCTATTTAGCATTTTTAAGCATATAAGCATTTAATAAATGGTTTATAAAACACCTATTATAGTTGCAGATAGAGGAATATGCTTAATGTTTATTAAGGTACAGTATTTGTGTACAACTAACTTCAAATATTTTTTCCAATAAAGACATACTGTATTCTGTATTATTACAACTGTGTGGGGGTCAAACTGTAAATACACTGAATATACTGAAAGATACACAAACAGTACACTGAAACAGTAATTCCACATTAAAATGCACTCAGCTGCACATTCAGGATAAAGGGATTTGTGTTTGGACTCCACATTGTTCCTCCAGGATGCAGTAATTAAACCTTCATATCAATATCTGCTCTCTTTCTCTCTGTGGCTATGTGTTATGATTTCTCTCTTTGCAGAGCCATTGTTTTGCCTAACCAATCAAAGACTGCTGCTATCAGATTAGGCAAACGTCTGTCAGTAGACTGAACCAGCTAACAGCCTTTCTCTCCCTCAGCACGCAAGATGATGCTAAAAGAACAACTTTGAGGAGGAAGAGAAGAAACTGTGAAGCTAAATTTGGAAATGTGATTCTTTTGATGCAAAAGTCTGATAGTGACATTTACAGTTAACGCTAGTGGAGCTATTGTAATGCTACAACAGTGTTGACTTGCAGAAATCACGCAGTCTCACGATCTCTGAGGCAAGTTGTCGAAATAAAAGCTTGATTAAAAAATGAGAAAGCATATCTAAAAAGCAATTTAAAAAATAATTGGCATGCCATTTTAGCGAGAGCATAATTAGCTTGGACTATGTCCAACCCTCAAAGTAATCTGGGATTTTTAAAATATAGGCTGTTATGTCTTGTGTTCAACATTGAGAATTGTACTCCCAAATGTAGAAAAAAAAACATATATACAGTTGCATTTGGAAACTCAACCCGTCATATGCAACCTTATACTGACGGTCATGCAGATAAACCTGAGGTTACCTCTTCAGTGGAGTCACTGGAGGGATGTGTGCCGGGCTCATGTAACTGAAGCTCACAGTAAATCTCAGTGGATAATGACAGTGACTGAGCCTGCTTCTATTGTTCACCTGCATTGTGTTACATGGGAATGAGGACGGCAGGAAAACTACCTTTTGTTGATCTCTTATATTTTGTATTATCACACCAGAGATGGTGCCTTCGTCTTCGTGTGCACAGCATAAAAGTACGTACACACACACACACACACACACACACACACACACACACACACACACACACACACACACACTAATGTACATTATATGTAAGTGAGCTTCACCACTTCAAAGGCTTCCATCTGTGCACAGAGCAAATGGAGGAGGCAAATTAGAAGGGGAACACGGGTGCTTCTTCAGAGGGAGAGGAAGCACATCGGAAGGACCTTTAATCTCCCACAACCCCACTAAATTGAGCACCCGGAGGAAATGACATCACATTGCTTTGCTGCAGCGATATCACTTTGCCAAATAAAAAATTCTTTGCTGTCCCAGATAGTATTGTCCCCTGCATGACAGAGGTTATATTTCTTGATATAATAAGCTTCTCAGTGAGCAGCTCCTTGAAGGTATTATGTTGCTCACCCGAGCTGACAATGGAAAAAGCAGTCCAATAAAGATGTTGAATTATATTTCAATAAGTTCATAACAAGGTTCCATGACTTTTGTTGAATGTTTGGAAGTTAAAAAAGTTATTTTAAAATGACTTTACCTACATACAGTTGTTGACTCCTGTGTGTGGTGGTACTGTGCAACATCTGTAAACATATATTTTTATAGTTATTGGTAAAAGCAACAACATACTGTATTTGGCCATTTCAATGAAGATTCAGAGCTAAGACCCCAAAACTGCAAAGGAAAGGATACAATGATATTTTGTTTCCAAATTAAATCATGTTTTTGTGATAAAATATGTATATTCTTCTTATTTGCCCCAGCAAAGTTTTTCTGATTGTTTTCTGTTTACAGCATTAGAAGCTAGAGGGCTTAATCTTAAATCCGTATTGCTCTCCACTATCAACATGCACTAAATTGTCTGTCAAACCTCACAGAGAAAAAACCCCAAACATGATTCTTAGGTTATGGGTGAAGGTTTGATGTAAATTCTAACCTTTAAAATAAACCTATGCTGTTCCAGCTCAGCTTAACTCATCATCTCTTTTCTTTGTGACAACCTATAATTGCAGACTTTTTAAGCAGCCCTGGAGATGTGTTGTAGATAAGCTGTCCAGCTTAACACACTCAAGGGTTCTTGGTGGTTTCCTTTAGGCACAACGTTCCCGTAGGCTGCAGTTTTTGTGCAGAGGTGTCATATTTCAAAGATGCTATGTTGTTCAAAACACATTAGAGAAAGAAGACTGATTTGTCTTCTTATCAGCGGTAGAGAAATTATCTGAAAGTAAGGTTTCATATTCAAATGACAATGTGTCAGAGTTGCTGTGTATTTTGTGTATATTTTTCAAGTCAAAGGAGATCCACAAGACCATGAAAGGCAATTGGAGGACAGCAGTTGTTGAAGTGATTAGTGGTCACAGCATTTAATAAAGGCAAACTCCTTAATTACCGAAAACACCAATGGAGGTAAATACTTCGTCATCTGATAGCATCTCTGGTAAAGTAAGCCCCTCCTTTTCTTCCATCAACACTAAACACTAAGTGCAGGTAACGGAGCTGTAGCCCTGAGGTCCCTCTGTCTCCAAACTAATCAAGAATGACAATAGAAGTGAAGCTTAATTGTATTGTTAGAAAAACATTCAGGGCATATGAAACAAAAGTGTTTTTCAGGTCAGAATTTTGACTGAACAAATTCTTTGTTCAATCTTTGTTAACCAGCACAGGTCGGATCTTTCATTCAGGTGTGTGATTACTGTGAAATGTAACTTAACTTTATTGTACATTCTCTACTGGAACAGCAGAACTTTTCTTCCTCCTCAGGATTTCCAAGGTTATTCCTTGTCTGAGGCTGATTAACATCCTGCTAAAATACGTTAGAGCTTGCTTTAACTTGACTCATCCAGCGGCGGCTTCCTTTGATAAGCTGTGATTAGATTTAATGTTCGAGCTGGTTTACTGCATTCAACCCGCAATGCTCATCAGGATGTAAAAAACACTCAAAAAGGAAAGTGAAAGAGAGTTAAATCCAGAGTTTATTCGAAAAAGCGTTACTGTATGAGTCGGACTAGTGTTCTCCAGCTGGAGCTCCTCAGGCAGGTCTTTCCAAGGCCAAAAGGCAGGTCACCTTTGGTCTTTAACCTTGAAAGAGGAAAAGTCAGGACATTTCTGCCTGCAGGTCTCAGGTTGCATGAAGGAATCAACAGTCCAGAAAGAAAACTGGTGTCAAATAAAGCAGCAAGGACACAACAGTAATCAAGACAACCTGCTCATCAAATTGAAATCTGGTACATAGTACCAGTGAAACTATGTTAAATGGTCTAAAATGGTTAAAATTTCTCAGAGATCTTTCCTCATGTATCCTTTTTGCTATTAGTTTTGGTTTTATGTGGCAACCCCGCCTAGAATTTACATTTATCTTTTGCCAAATTTTGCAATTCAATTGCATTTTGGTTGTAAATGTACTGACTCACCTCCTGAGTCAGGCGTGCAAGTTTAGACAAAAAAAGCAGTTGGTTATGGTTAAGATTGTGGCTTTGGTTAAAAGTACACATCTTGAGCTTCCCTAACCTTAATCAAAGGTTTTATTACGCTTTAGTTTTAGTTTAGAAACAAATAGAATAATTTTTCAGTGAAACATTTGCTGTTATGTCGACATCTTGTGACTTGGCAGATGCAATCATAATCTGGGCGGCATTAAATTACTTAGCTATTATATAAATTTTATATCTTTTTCAGACACACTCAAAGAGACGAGTGCATTGTGACTTGTGAAGGGTCTGAAACTCAAAGTTTAGGACTTGTCAGTCTTGACTTTGGACTTGAGTGCAAAGACTTGAGATTTATTTGAGACCTGCAAAACAAAGACGTGGTCCCACCTCTGTTTTCAGATATCTGCTTTGATACCTGTGCCACCACCTCGATACAATAAAGAACAAAATACATACAAAAAAATGCCACAGACACAGTTTATGAGCTTAAAACCACAGACAACCCTGTCAAGAGTATGTATTCATTTCATCACAAGAAAGGCCTGGCCCAATAAAAAACCCTACCGACATGGCTACATACTATAAAAAGTGAAGTAATAAAACGAGTGTGATGAATGTATCTAAGGTTTTATTCATTCTGGATGACAGCCAGACACAGTAATACCTGCATGTATTTATTCTGAGATAGAGGTGAACTGAGCAGTACATATTCTCTGGTTTTCTTACACTTTTCTGGTATAAACAGACAAACCGGGCATTGGAGTTGTTAAGACAATAGGCAGCAAATTATTTAGAAACTAATTTGTATCACTGGAATATTCTGGATGCTTGTGCATAATTAACAGTGTGAGAAGATATGAATAAGTCGTACTGTAGCGCCGGCAGCTTGATTTTTGAGTGTGAGTCACCATAACCGCAACCATGGGTGTGCCGTTCATTGTCCCCCCATTCACCTTAGATAACA